AAGTGCTCTTTTCCTACAGGAATAGGTTTTGGAGACCGCACAAACACCTTCTGTGGCACGCCTGAATTCCTGGCTCCAGAAGTCCTGACGGACATCTCGTACACTCGGGCAGTAGACTGGTGGGGACTGGGTGTACTCATCTACGAGATGCTTGTTGGCGAGGTAAGGCCACCTTTGCCTGTGAGGTTCTCGCTAAGCAGTCTTAGGGAGAGCAGTACCTGACCACCCGAGATAAAATTTTGCGAACGTAGCTACTTATTAGTACTTAAATTACGTTTTTCTCATTCGTAGTGCTTGCCAAACACTAATTAATCCATATGACTCCCTGCTATTCTCATCCCTATTTAACAGTGAGGATTAAATAATAAAATGTCACAACTGCAGGCACCGTTCCCTGGAGATGATGAGGAAGAAGTCTTTGACAGTATTGTCAATGATGAAGTCCGGTATCCACGATTCCTTTCAACTGAGGCGCTTTCTATAATCCGTAAGGTAACGGGGCTTGATGGGTCTCTGGGAGCCTGAGGAATCCGCATTTGCTGTGTTAGTGGATCCTGAGGGACTCTATTAGGACCGGATAGTATTTATGTGCGTAATTTGGACCTGCCTAGGCAGACGGCTTGATGGGTCTCTGGGAGCCTGAGGAATCTGCATTTGCTGTGTAAGTGGATCCTGAGGGACTCTATTAGGACCAGATAGTATTTGTGTGCGTAATTTGGACCTGCCTAGGCAGATTAAGGAAGCATTTAAAATTTACACGTGTTTTTCCTTTCCTTCTCTTTCCATAAATGCTGTTCTTGTGTCTAAGGATGACTGAGCAGGCTTCTTACTGAGGTCTGTTGCTGCTAAATGTGAAATGGAGAAATGTTGCTTCAAAGGCAGGAATGTCAGTGTCATTCAGTGGAGTTGGCTTGATTCAGTTTCTAAGTGTGACCCAGCAGTCAGAGGTGCACAATTCAGATGAGATGCTTTTCACACAGTTTATAGCAGGTATCTTACTGATGTTGGCAAGTTGTTTACAAAGAACTAGGCTTGAGCTACTATTGGCAGATTATGACCTTGCTGCAAAGTCAGAATGAGAAGATCCTGAGGCGTCAGCCCATCTCCTTTCTTTTGTTTTTCTCTGGAACAGTATTTCTGTCCATCCTTATTTCTGTTTGATTTTGAACTGATATTTCCTTCAGCTTCTTCGAAAGTGTCCAGAACGTAGGTTGGGAGCGGGCGAAAGAGATGCAGAAGAGATTAAAATCCAGCCCTTTTTTAAGGTAGGAACTCACTTTATCCTTCTCCCTCATCTCTTGTGTCTGAGCTAAGAGTGATTTGCTTTTGATTGCTGTTGGGGTGTATTTCCATTAGTTACCAGTGAGATTTTAGCGGTAGCTTCTGTTGCACCTCATTGCTGTGTTCAGGAATATGAGTTTCAATTCACTTTTGAAATTATGTTTCCTAAGCACGCTCTCTCTCTCTTTCTCTGAAATAAGACAGGTTGCAAATAACCTGGAAGGGAAGCTGCAATCCTCCCTCTTACTTTCACATTTCGTAAATAACCTTAACGTCAGTCTGGCCTGTTCACTCCCCTCTCTTACAGGAAATTGACTGGGATGCCTTGTTCACCAGGACTCTGAAGCCCCCTTTTGTGCCTACTTTAAGAGATCCGACTGACATTAGCAACTTTGACGAGGAGTTTACGTCACAAAAGCCCATCCTTACTCCTCCAGAGGAGACGGCTTTCCTAACACGTAAGGAGCAGACCGTCTTCAAGGACTTTGACTTTGTCTCCAGACACCTTTTAGATGTTTGATTCCTGTGCTGTAAGAAACGCAGACAGACTGTTAGCACCTTGCTAATGGTGTAGAGAGGACTTGGCATGGGCAGTGGAAAAGTCAACAGAATCTGTAGAACTGGTAGTGCTGATGAGCCCAGGATGAGAGTGCCCTGCACGCTGAGTTTAACCTACTGCGGTTTTTTCAGCCTCACTTGTTGGAGGGATACCAGATGTCAATTATCTCTAAGGATTAATTAATACTGGACTGAATATATCTTCTGCTGCCATTGAATATAGATGGAAATTTGGAATTTAAGCTGGATTGAATCAAACAAACTCTATGGCCCAGGTTACTCTTTGCAAAAAGCCTAAGTAAGTAGCCCAGCTTTTTTAATGTTGTATAGTAGCACGGGGAATGGCCACTTCTCAGTGATTAGAAAGAGAAGATATGCAGCATTCCCTCTTTGTAACGATTTTATGCCCTTTCCCACTCATAACGATGTGTGTGCCAGAGAAGCAATAGATTTTAACACAACCAAAACAATGATGTTTGGGTTTGATAACAGTCCAGGTAATCTATCTAAAGGAAAATGAGTCTCTTTCTATTTCTCTGAGGATGCTAAATCTTAGCTGTTGTTTTTAATGATATAAAAAAGCAAAAGCTTTGCACATACTATTTTTTTTTTTTAATAAAGATACCTTTCCTTATAATGAAATTTCAGGTGTTCATCTCCTTTGTGTTAGCCGAGTGTTTCAGATCAGGGCTAACCACATTCTGTTCAACAGGCAGGATTTTATTTTTCACTGTAAATGTCAATAGTAATATTTTCTTTCTTCCTTCCCTCTCACTCAAGCCGTCTGGGTATATATTGCGTGGTGTCATCAGCTGTCTCATACGAATGACTGCAGTCAAGTTGTCTCTCTGGAGATTTTATCAATGTGTATATCCTGTAGTTTTTTTGGGGTAGCTAAATAACAACGTTAACGTTGGAAAATTGGTAACTTAAAGGTAATTTTATTTGCCTGGTAACACATCTTGTGATTATACTTGTCAGGATACATTTTCTTCTCCTAAATTCATAATATTAGCTTGTTGGGCAAAAAAAAAGGAAGAGTATCAAGAGATGAAGCATCACGCCGATGAAGGTAGGGACATACAGCTATTACTCTTCCAGTCTGTCTTCAGGAGAGGTAGACAGAAGTTGAACTAACGCCGTTGTGCTACATCTGGAGATAAAGTTCAGGTGCAGCTAATGAGTCATTATTAAATCAAAGCTGGTCTAAGTGCTTCAGAATTCAGAGGTAAGAAGTATGTTTGTATAAAACAGAAATAATTTGCACTGATCCTAGATATCCTCTTTTCAGAGCCAAGTATAAATGCTTCAGAAAATTCCCACGTACAAATATCCTTCCAACCTCCTGCTCTGCCTTGCAGCACAGTGGTCTGTTTGAAGCAGGACATATTTTCCTCACCCTTGTTTGAATAGTAATGGTTGACTTGCTGTCAGCCCCTGCAATGGGTTTTGTGACTTTTCTTAAGGCCGTGGCCTCTGTACAGAGGTAAGGAGCACAGCGGCCTGTTAGCATGGCTGAAATCTAGAACTTGGATTCAAAGAGACAGGCATAAAGAACCACAAAAGCATATTTCACATATTTTAATTTATAGTTTACAGTAGAGTTAAAAAGACAATAAATTATCATCCTGGTGCATTTTAAAAATAGTTACTGAACAGAGAAAAACTGTGTGTTTTGAGCTGTAGAACCTGCTGATAAATTTTTGATAACTGAAGAACCAGAAATTGTTGTGTGGCAGACAAGCCCTGTGCACCTCACTGACACGAATAACTGCAGAATCCTTTCTGCGTGGTATGTGATCGTTGCAAAACCAATTCTTAGTGTTGTGATCTCTCTGTGATAGGAGTTTCTACCCTGAACAAACCAGAATGCACACAAACTCTGAAACTGGTAAAAAAAATGGTGACTGCACTGTCCTTTCCTGAGTGCTCATCAACTTTAAACCCTGAGCGCATCCTAGCAGCTTGCCCGATGTGTTCTTGAGCTGGTGTTAATTCTTGAGCCAAGGCAATTAAGGCACAAAATAATTTAAACTAAGGTTTTGTTATGGTGATATGGTTTTGGTTTTCTTTTTTAAACAGAAAAAGGTCAGGACTAAAATTCATACCACAGCCTCTTCTGTTTTTAAAGCTAAAATTGGTCATCTCCAAACTTCCTTTAAGTTCCTCAGGGAAACCCGAGTTATGACCTTTTACGACAATGGAGAACAAGGAAGCTTGCTTCTAGCCTAGAACGCTATCAGCACCCCCTCCTCTTCGTGACAGAAACAGGACCCAGAGTCTTCCCCGTTGCACTAAAATTTTGTATTTTTATTAAAGTTTTACTAGTAAGTTGAGGTAGTAGTATTACCAACAGTGTTACTTGAGCTAGGCAAGAAGTACCCACCTCTGCTACTGGTTCTCTCGCCACAAGCTACAGGAAAGGCCTGAGCATGAAGTTATCTGCAGAAATAATTCAGTAGGTATTATTTTTCTGTCCAAAGACAGAGGATGGCATCGTTCTTTGCTGACTTGACGCAAACTAGCCTGTGAATTGTTAACAGCACCACGAACTTAAAGAATAAACTGTTAGAAAGCTGGTCAGGGCATCCAAGTACAGACTATTTATCCCATAAGCTGCATTTGGTGCCTTGCAGCTGTTTCGTGCACATTAACACTACTAAGCCTCGGATCTTGGTGAAAAGCATTAGGTTGAGATGTGGTCAAAAATGAAATTTGCTTTTGACTGGCCAAATATTTACTCAAATATTTCTGTTATGTGCCCAACACTGCCAACAAAAGGCACTGCGATTCTCACAGTGAGAACTATGTTGAAGAAAGGCCACGTTGATTCTAGATGGTTTTGTCTGCAATAGCTGCTGTTCCCTGGCAGCAAAAGGAGAGGGAAACTTTGGGGAAGAGAAGTGAACGTGGATGTTCACACTACTCTTGCATCTCTTCCGGAAAGATGTGTAAATTTAGAGAGATCCTTTGCTTAGACCAGAAATCAGCTCTGCCGGCTTTCCCAGAACCAGCCAGCCTCTTGCCTTTAACAGTGTTATTCATGCATAAAAAATAACCGACTATCCTTGAAGTGCAATCTGCAGGAAGAACAGGTTGCATAGTTCACGAGGTACTAGAGTTCTGTGCAAGGAAAGAGCAGCGATTCCATTAGCAAAGCTTTACTCGGCAGCCTGCAGCTGCGTTGGCGCTCTACCAGGTTGGTGCTGCTCTGGCTGGACAGGCTCGTTGTTGCTGTGAAAGTAGATGTTCTCCCATGCAGTGAAGTGGCGTGAACAGAAGAATCTCCAGAGATTGAGCAGTACCCCTTGGTCAAAGGGATTCTCCAACTCAGAATGTCGCAGGTAGGAGATGCGGTGATGCGACATGAATTCCCACATGGTGGTGTTGCATGAGATCAGATAGAGCTGTGAAATAAGCAGCAGCAGGACGACGATGGTGAATATGACTATCAGGAGGAAGGACACAAGGAGGAAGATGTTGTGCTGCAGCCAGTCCCAAGACTGTTCGAAGTAGAGGCCTGACCTTTCAATTCGAAGAGAATAAATTCACAGTCAGAGATGTTGAACTAGTTACAAAAATGTGTTGTCAAGTTTGCTTGGCTTAAGTTTGATTCATAATTAGTGAGCTTCTGATAATCATGTACTACAGAGAGTACATATACTACAAACACTTCAAAGACTGCACCGCTAGTGACTCAGAAGCTAGCTCAGAATCAGGTGAGTCAACCTAGTACTTGGATTTGTAATCAAAGATTGTATTACAGGAACTGAAGCAAAATTAGTTTTGTACTGTTGTTAATTCTGTTAATACAAGCTTAAAACAAAGATGAACAATGAAACACAAACTATCAGATTCTGCTCAACTGCTGACCAGCTATGTTGTCCCTCAGCAGATCAACAGGTTCTGGGATGCAAAAGAGGGTGAAGCTCCAAAGCTAATCCAGTCACTGCTCTGTTCTACATAAACCCTGTGGGGCTCTAGGAGCACCTGAACTTTTAGCCATCTCCGAGGTCAAAGTGCTGACTCTGGGTCTTACCAAGCAACGTGACCTCCCCACAGCAGAACTACAAGCTGCACGCTCAAGTAGACTATGAAGAGGGGGTGATTCCTCTCTCCTACACAGTTCTCAAGCCAGGGACAGTGGTGGTCGTACCGCCGCACGCAGTGTCGGCACCACTGGCAGTGCTTGGCTCGCATCGGTTGCTGCAAAACAAAACCAAACACACACACTAGCAACAGCCCACTGCTGCTCGACTCCCCGTTTGGTAGAGGAGAATATCACGTGATACTGTCTTCCTCCCCAGCAGTGCTGTCCCAAAACCACTGCATTTTGAGGTAACAGCACAACGTAACATTTCTAAGATAACTAAAGGGGCTCGTGATTCCCCTGATACAGATCCAAATGAGTGGGATTCAAATTAAACAACTCCCCCACACTACTTTGCTCTATACAATGTCTGTACTATCTACTCATTAATAGGAGGTCCAGCGTGCAAAGAAGGGAGGGAGAGCCAATCGGTCTATTCTGGGAAGCACAAGCAGAGTATTGAAGTGAGAAAGTAGGACTTTGCAGCTATTGAAGGAGGTGGCAGGGATGGGACATCTTTACGGGACTGCATAGAGGAGGGAAGTGTCTCTGCTTCTGAGTGGATACAAGATACTTGCACGGGAAAGCAGCTTGAGTACCAGGAAAAGATGAAAGATCCGGCTGAGAAAAGTAGTGCCTTCTAGGATTTGTTCCCTGCAGCATACGTATGTTTTCCCAGCTTTTCCTCTTGCAATAAGCTCACCTCTCCTCAGACATTCTTCAGGAATTCATGGAAGCTAGGATCATGCTTGATTTTATTAATCTGATAAGGATCACTCTGAAAAAAAGCACTTCTAGGCTTTAGACAAACTGTTTTAAGAGCTAATTTAATTGCTCTAATTTTTCCCTCAAGCTCTCTTTTACAACTCAGACTAATGTTTTGTTGGGTTTAGGCCTCCAAACAAGCTTACAAGTACCAGCCGTTCTTATATGTCATGCTCAGCCGCTTTTCTACCAAGATATCTTCAAAATAACCTTTTTGACAATACTGTAAGGCCTGACTGACAAGGCAGTAAGAATGCAGAATACAGTTTTCCCTTAGCAAAAGATGATTCCTGTTTCTGTGAGCCAGCAGGTACTCGGAAGCCTCGCATATATGCCCATCTCCATCACTACTCCACCTTGAGCTACAAAATCTGTCTGGATCACTTTTCAGTTCAGGGCTGTATCTGAACTCCATTTGCTAGTTTACTTAACTTTTTACGTTGAGTTT